CCGACCCGTCGCTGTTTCTGCGCACTGACACTTCTTTGCCGCCGTTCTACATCCTCGTGTACGTCGACGACTTGGTCTTCGCCACAGCTGACACTGCTGGACTCGCCCACGTGAAGTCCGAGCTGCAGAAGAGACACACGTGCACAGACCTGGGTGAACTGCGCAGCTACCTTGGCTTGCAGATCACCCGGGACAGAGCACGCCGCACCATTACCCTGACTCAGTCACACATGGTGCAGCAGGTCCTTCAGCGCTTCGGCTTCACGTACTCCTCGCCTCAGGCCACTCCTCTGCCTACTCGCCACTCGCTCTCAGCTCTGCCTTCGGATGAGTCCGTAGAGTCGAGTGGCCCGTACCCAGAGCTTGTTGGCTGCCTCATGTACCTGATGACCTGCACACGACCTGACCTTGCATACCCTCTTAGCATTCTTGCACGCTATGTTGCTCCTGGGAGACACAGACCGGAGCACATGGCTGCAGCGAAGAGGGTGTTGCGCTACTTGTGCAGTACGTCGGGCATGGGGCTTGTGCTTGGAGGGCAGAGTCCAGTGGTCCTCACTGGGCACGCAGACGCTTCTTGGGCTGACGACCAGGCTACGCAGCGGTCGTCAGAGGGTTACACCTTCAGCCTTGGTTCCGGCTCTGTTTCGTGGCGGGCTACCCGCTCGTCTTCTGTTCTCGGCTCCAGTTGTGAGGCTGAGATCTACGCCGGGGCCATGGCTGCACAGGAGCTTCGCTGGCTCACCTACCTGCTGACTGACCTCGGAGAGCCGCCTCGTTCTCCTCCAGTGCTGTACGTAGACAACAAGGCCATGCTGGCCTTGTGTCGAGAGCAGAGACTGGAGCACAGAACGAAGCACATTGCTCTCCGCTACTTCCTTGCTCATGAGCTACAGCAGCGTGGTCAGCTGCGGCTTGCGTACGTGGCCTCTGAGGCCAACACTGCTGATATCTTCACCAAGGCACTTGCGCCTTGTGATCATCAGCGCTTCTGTACTCAGCTGGGTCTTGTGCCTACCTTGCCTCACTTGCTCACCCCTTGACCTTGTTTGTACTGTTGCATATATATATACACCTGCTCTTGCTTGTCTAGCCTTATATATATATGTAATCCTGCATGTGAACTGGCCTTGTGGCCTTGAACTTGTGCTCGGAATGTGTGGTGACTTTGTGATCCACCCTGAGCTTGCTTTGCTTTGCTTGACTGGTCTTGTGACCCCTTGTTCTCCCCCACTTTGCCTATGGGGGTGTGTCAGATTTATATGACATAGCTACTGTAGGCTATAGTGGGGTAGCACATATGGGGTACAGTTTTCTAGGGTTTGCTTTTGTACCCAACTTTCCCTTAGTCAATCCATTCCTCATTTCTTCACATTGGCCTCCCTGTGCCCGTTGCTTGTTCTACCCCACCCTTCTCGCCCCAGTCTCCTACAGAAGAGCACTCTCTACATTGCAACCAACGAACCACACCCCCGTTTTTTCTATTATATTAAAACCGCATACACCGTGAAGGGGGAGGAGAAGACCTGAGTTGACTCACAACTCTCCTGTGCTGCTCTTCTCTCCTCCCCCTCCCTCTCACCCTAGCCTCCTACAGAAGCTCCCATCACTCGTCCCTCCAAACAGCACTCTTTACATCGCAACCAACGAACCAGACCCCCACTTCTTCGACCCTCTTAAGGCTGCATACAGCGTGTACATTCAAGAGGATTTTGCATCTCTCTGGGCCAAAGGGTCGGCGTGGGAAGCCGAGATGAGGGAGGTCGCTGCTTCGGTGGGTGTGACGGTGGGGGAGAGGGTGGAGTTTGGCAGTGAAATGCAAGTTCTGGTGGACTATGCGATCAAGAAGCTCTCAAGGCGGACGGTGGAGACGTTTAACGACCTCACGGATGATCCCAAGGACGGTGAGATGCGGTGGGGAGTGGTGGTATGCGGTAGGGAGGCGGTGAGTTGCGGTGGGGAGTGGTGAGATGCGGTGGAGGGTGGTGGGGAGGTGGTTGGGGGAGTTTGGCAGTGAGATGCAAGTGCTGGTGGATTATGCGATCAAGAAGGTTGCGAGGAAAGTAGCATACCATTTCATCCAGCCTTGCTCTACCTTGACCTATCGTGCTTTACCGTGCTCTACTGTGCTTTACCTTACTCAACCTTGATATTATATGCTCTACCCCGTTGCGTTATCTCCACTCCCAACTCTTTTCCCCACAGTGTTCCCGCTCCATGACCTTCCCTAGCAGGTGTTGTGGGCCCTTAAAACATGGGGGTAGTGACAGGAGCAACACAGCGGATCAGAGTTTAGTGGTACGGCACATATCGTTCTAACTTCCTAAGCCTTTGTATACCCTGCCTGCCTCCCTCTCTGTTGTATAGTTACGTAAATCAGAAGCGAAAAACGCTTTAAACAATTGGGAGTCTTAGAAAATGATGGGTGTTGCATTTGTTGGGCTGAGAAAAGCCCTTAGGATCTTTCAAGGCTAATACTCTGTCAGGAATGTTGTATTGCGGAAGCGTTTAATGATAAACTGTTGAACCACCTTGCGCTGGTGTGTGAGGGCAAGATAGATTGATTATAGAGAAGTAATACAAGCTTTTATAAGATTACAAGGAATATGAAAGGATGCAATAACTGTTTTACTGTTGCTGTTGCGGTTCGATACAGTGACGACTCGGGCAACTGCTCAATACCGAGTAAGTTGTTTGTCCTTGCTGTCGCGCTGTATTTGTCGAGTCAAAGGTCGCTGACCTTTGACCTTCGCGTAACCTCCGGCTGTTACCTTTCTGTCAACCTCCTCAGTTGACTCGCCATTGCTGCGCTGTAGTTCGCCTCGTTTACAGTCTGATGTTGCGACACATAAGAAGCGTTAATTACTTGTTTCCAACAGCATTGCTCTTTCAAACTGGGACTGGTGGGAAAACCCTTTTTGTGCTTGCGTTTTGGCACGTTTTCCCGGGGGGGAGGGGGTGCGCTCTTCTTGGTTAAACTTGTGCTGCGCACTCAGGTGCTATCCTTAGGGATAACTTTATAAGGGAATTAAACAGATGTAGCGTGGATTCCGGTGTTACTAGGTGTAAGGAAAATTCCTTTTCCTTACTTCGCGTCCCTGCTCAGCGCGTACATCACTGTTCCCGCCAACAGCACCCAACAGTAATCCGTTACCACTCGCGACACTCGACACTGTCCCCGCCACTGTTCACGTCGCGACCCAACCTCACGGTTCGGTTGGTAACCCGCGCTCCGGACCTCCGCCTCGACATTTCCCAACCTCGGCGCTAGGCCCGTCGCGCACTCCATTTTCACACATTACCGTTACCACTGTAGTTTCGCTATATATTCTTCGCTCATGCCTTCGCTCATTGTACCCTTGCTTCGATAGTGCAATTCTCGCTCGCTCACTCAATTGCACCCTTAACACTGGGAACAGTAATAACTCTGTAAGATATTTGACTTCCGGACCGGTGTATGTTTGCTGCATTGCGAAATCGAGCTAAAATGGGTGTCTGCTGCACCATTTGGGTTCTCACGAGCGGAAGGTCAAACGCGGTTTCTCCGAGTCCGCATGTGCCTAGTAGTCCGACCAAGAGGCTCGCGTGCGGAGCAAGGGTCATAGTAGTCTCCTAGGACTAGCTATCCCCAAACACGATCGTCTAAGATAGTGATACGAGGGCGTAGAGAAATAGAATTTGTGGTTTTGACGCTCGTCGCCATGGGCAGATCGGGTTTCGACGACATACCGAGTTACCACCTTGGGTTTCTATTCTTCGCCGAAAACGGAACTCATGTTCCCCACCCTTCTCGATCGCAATTATTTGCTAGCAACGCTACCATCAGCGGGCTCCGCTTTGTTCCCGACTACAATAATGGTAGTTTTTTCAGCCAGAATCAACAGACACAAGGCACCAACAAATCATTTTCCTCTGGGGTCTTATCGTCGCTTGTTCTGCGACGATAGAAGCCGATACTATATCTTAACTTGCTTATATGGCTCAGCAACGACACCTCCATACAAGCGCGCTTCGCGCCGTACTACTCTCCATCGCCATCGCATTGATCCTGGTACCGTTAACGCGCGCTCAACAGCGTTGCTCGAACTCCACTCCGTGTGACCCGCCGAGCCTATGCTGCAGGTTAGTCTGAGACGTCTCACAGGGCGCTCCTCTCCCCTTCCTGTACGAGTCGTTTCAATGCTTTCAGAGCACAACCTTCAAAGGTTGGTTACAGTCCATTCAAGGTGCTTTCGGAACACACAATCATGCTTTCATCTACCATTTGTCGTTCCGAAATTCTACAGAAGTCGACGTCTTTCGGAACACTCATTCATTTTCTACAACCAACCCACCTATCTTTCCAGCTCAGGTTTGCTTTCACGGCAGTCCTGTCCTCTCGCCCTCGAAACACCTCGACTGCCCTTGTCTCTTCAACCTCTCATCCCTTCGCCTGTTTTGTTTTAACTCTCTTTCTCCCCCTCTGTCCTTGACCCTCTTTCCGTTACCTCGAACCTCCCGCTTTTGCCCGCAGCAAGGATGGGTATTGCGGAAGCAGTGACGCCTACTGCGGTGCGGGATGTCAGAACGGGCCGTGCGGCTTTGGTGAGGACGATTGTGCTGATTAAATGCCTCGGATAAACCGGATAGGTTTATGATTCGATGAAATACCGAAGATTTGAATGCATACATTCCCTCTTATTTCTCCATGGATCCATGCACACACACTAATGCATTCGCGCATGCACACGATATGCATACAGCCATGCATACACTCATGGCGCCACCTTACTGTCAGTCACCATCGTCTCTCCCGTTGATTCCAGCAACGACAACTCAACAGTTCTGCACTCGCTCCTCGCTTTGTAACACACACACATGCCTGTCCGTCACCATCGTCTTTCTCTCTTTTATGCCAGCAACGACAACTCAACAGTTATGTTCCACCTCATCGCCCTGTAACCCGCCGAGCCTATGCTGCAGGCCAGTTCAAATTCTGAGAAGTTTCACAACCCGAGCCTATGCTGCTTGTCCGCTCGCCGTCGCTCCTCTCCCTGCCTCCTTCCTGCGTGTCGTGCCATGCCATCAGAACACACCCTTTCGGTCCGTCGGACCTTTCAGAGCTCACACTCCTTTTCATCTACCTACCGATTCCGTGGCCTCATCCCTTCCCCTTCTTTTCTTTCACCTCCCCCTTCCCCGCTGTAGTAAGTAACCCTCTTTCCCTGGCGCCTTCCTCATCCTCTTTCTCCTGTCTCGTTTCTCACTCTCCTTCTCCTCTTTCTCCTGTCTCGTTTCTCACTCTCCTTCTCCTCTTTCTCCTGTCTCGTTTCCCACTCTCCTTCTCCTCTTTCTCCTGTCTCGTTTCTCACTCTCCTTCGTTCGCAGCCAGTGGGGCTGGTGTGGAAGCAACGACTCCTTCTGCGGTGCGGGATGCCAGAACGGGCCGTGCTCTGGTGAGGAGAATGGTTCAGATGAGTCAGATGATAAATGTGCTCTGGTGAGGAGAATGGTTCAGATGAGTCAGATGATATTTATGCTCTGGTGAGGAGAATGGTTCAGATGAGTCAGATGATAAATATGCTCTGGTGAGGAGAATGGTTCAGATGAGTCAGATGATATATATGCTCTGGTGAGGAGAATGGTTCAGATGAGTCAGATGATAAATATGCTCTGGTGAGGAGAATGGTTCATATGCGTCAGATGATAAATATGCTCTGGTGAGGAGAATGGTTCATATGCGTCAGATGATAAATATGCTATGGTGAGGAGAATGGTTCATATGCGTCAGATGATAAATATGCTCTGGTGAGGAGAATGGTTCATATGCGTCAGATGATAAATATGCTCTGGTGAGGAGAATGGTTCAGATGAGTCAGATGATAAATATGCTCTGGTGAGGGCGATTCCGATGATTGAGATCCCGCCGGATGATTAGGATAGTTTAGGTATTTTGATTCAGATGATTCGGATGATTTGGATGGCTTCTCTCTCATCACCCCGCCCCATTCTCCCGCTTTCCATCACCCCGCCACATTCTCCCGCTTTCCATCACCCCGCCCCATTCTCCCGTTTTCCATCACCCCGCCCCATTCTCCCTCCTTCCATCACCCCACCCCATTCTCCCGCTTTCCATCACTCCGCCCCGTTCTCCCGCTTTCCATCACCTCGCCCCATTCTCCCGCTTTCCATCACCCCGCCCCATTCTCCCGCTTTCCATCACCCCGCCCCATTCTCCCTCCTTTCATCACCCCGCCCCATCCTCCCGCTTTCCATCACCCCGCCCCATTCTCCCGCTTTCCATCACCCCGCCCCATTCTCCCGCTTTCCATCACCCCGCCCCATTCTCCCACTTTCCATCACCCAGCCCCATTCTCCCGCTTTCCATCACCCCGCCCCATTCTCCCGCTTTCCATCACCCCGCCCCTTTCTCCCGCTTTCCATCACCCCGCCCCATTCTCCCGCTTTCCATCACCCCGCAACATTCTCCCTCCTTCCATCAACCCGCCCCATTCTCCCGCTTTCCATCACCCCGCCCCATTCTCCCGCTTTCCATCACCCCCCTTCCATCACCCCGCCCCATTCTCCCGCTTTCCATCACCCCGCCCCATTCTCCCGCTTTCCATCACCCCGCCCCATTCTCCCGCTTTCCATCACCCCGCCCCATTCTCCCGCTTTCCATCACCCCGCCCCATTCTGCCGCTTTCCATCACCCCGCCCATTCTCCCGCTTTCCATCACCCCGCCCCATTCTCCCGCTTTCCATCACCCCGCCCCATTCTCCCGCTTTCCATCACCCCGCCCCATTCTCCCGCTTTCCATCACCCCGCCCCATTCTCCCGCTTTCCATCACCCCGCCCCATTCTCCCGCTTTCCATCACCCCGCCCCATTCTTCCGCTTTCCATCACCCCGCCCCACCATTCTCCAGCTTTCCATCACCCCGCCCCATTCTCCAGCTTTCCATCACCCCGCCCCATTCTCCAGCTTTCCATCACCCCGCCCCATTCTCCTGCTTTCCATCACCCCGCCCCATTCTCCCGCTTTCCATCACCCCGCCCCATTCTCCCTCCTTTCATCACCCCGCCCCATCCTCCCGCTTTCCATCACCCCGCCCCATTCTCCCGCTTTCCATCACCCCGCCCCATTCTCCCGCTTTCCATCACCCCGCCCCATTCTCCCGCTTTCCATCACCCAGCCCCATTCTCCCGCTTTCCATCACCCCGCCCCATTCTCCCGCTTTCCATCACCCCGCCCCATTCTCCCGCTTTCCATCACCCCGCCCCATTCTCCCGCTTTCCATCACCCCGCCCCATTCTCCCGCTTTCCATCACCCCGCCCCATTCTCCCGCTTTCCATCACCCCGCCCCATTCTCCCGCTTTCCATCACCCCGCCCCATTCTCCCTCCTTCCATCACCCCGCCCCATTCTCCAGCTTTCCATCACCCCGCCCCATTCTCCTGGTTTCCATCACCACGCCCCATTCTCCCACTTTCCATCACCCCGCCCCATTCTCCCGCTTTCCATCACCCCGCCCCATTCTCCCGCTTTCCATCACCCCGCCCCATTCTGCCGCTTTCCATCACCCCGCCCCATTCTCCCGCTTTCCATCACCCCGCCCCATTCTCCCGCTTTCCATCACCCCGCCCCATTCTCCCGCTTTCCATCACCCCGCCCCATTCTCCCGCTTTCCATCACCCCGCCCCATTCTCCCGCTTTCCATCACCCCGCCCCATTCTCCCGCTTTCCATCACCCCGCCCCATTCTCCCTCCTTCCATCACCCCGCCCCATTCTCCCTCCTTCCATCACCCCGCCCCATTCTCCCGCTTTCCATCACCCCGCCCCATTCTCCCGCTTACCATCACCCCGCCCCATTCTCCCGCTTTCCATCACCCCGCCTCATTCTCCCGCTTTCCATCACCCCGCCCCATTCTCCCTCCTTCCATCACCCCGCCCCATTCTCCCGCTTTCCATCACCCCGCCCCATTCCCCTGCTTTCCATCACCCCGCCCCATTCTCCCGCTTTCATCACCCCGCCCCATTCTCCCTCCTTCCATCAGCCCGCACCATTCTCCCGCTTTCCATCACCCCGCCCCATTCTCCCTCCTTCAATCACCCGGCCCCATTCTCCCTCCTTCCATCACCCCGCCCCATTCTCCCGCTCCATCAACCCGCCCCATTCTCCCGCTTTCCATCACCCCGCCCCATTCTCCCGCTTTCCGTCAGCCCGCCCCATTCTCCCGCTTTCCATCACCTCGCCCCATTCTCCCTCCTTCCATCACCCCGCCCCATTCTTCCGCTTTCCATCACCCCGCCCCATTCTCCCTCCTTCCATCACCCCGCCCCATTCTCCCTCCTTCCATCACCCCGCCCCATTCTCCCGCTTTCCATCAACCCGCCCCATTCTCCCGCTTTCCATCACCCCGCCCCATTCTCCCGCTTTCCATCACCCCGCCCCATTCTCCCTCCTTCCATCACCCCGCCCTATTCTCCCGCTTTCCATCACCCCGCCCCATTCTCCCGCTTTCCATCACCCCGCCCCATTCTCCCGCTTTCCATCACCCCGCCCCATTCTCCCGCTTTCCATCTCCCCGCCCCATTCTCGCGCTTTCCATCACCCCGACCCATTCTCCTGCTTTCCATCACCCCGCCCCTTTCTCCCTCCTTCCATCACCCCGCCCCATTCTCCCGCTTTCCATCACCCCGCCCCATTCTCCAGCTTTCCATCACCCCGCAACATTCTCCCTCCTTCCATCAACCCGCCCCATTCTCCCGCTTTCCATCACCCCGCCCCATTCTCCCGCTTTCCATCACCCCCCTTCCATCACCCCGCCCCATTCTCCCGCTTTCCATCACCCCGCCCCATTCTCCCGCTTTCCATCACCCCGCCCCATTCTCCCGCTTTCCATCACCCCGCCCCATTCTCCCGCTTTCCATCACCCCGCCCCATTCTGCCGCTTTCCATCACCCCGCCCATTCTCCCGCTTTCCATCACCCCGCCCCATTCTCCCGCTTTCCATCACCCCGCCCCATTCTCCCGCTTTCCATCACCCCGCCCCATTCTCCCGCTTTCCATCACCCCGCCCCATTCTCCCGCTTTCCATCACCCCGCCCCATTCTCCCGCTTTCCATCACCCCGCCCCATTCTCCCGCTTTCCATCACCCCGCCCCACCATTCTCCAGCTTTCCATCACCCCGCCCCATTCTCCAGCTTTCCATCACCCCGCCCCATTCTCCAGCTTTCCATCACCCCGCCCCATTCTCCTGATTTCCATCACCCCGCCCCATTCTCCCGCTTTCCATCACCCCGCCCCATTCTCCCGCTTTCCATCACCCCGCCCCATTCTCCCGCTTTCCATCACCCCGCCCCATTCTCCCGCTTTCCATCACCCAGCCCCATTCTCCCGCTTTCCATCACCCCGCCCCATTCTCCCGCTTTCCATCACCCCGCCCCATTCTCCCGCTTTCCATCACCCCGCCCCATTCTCCCGCTTTCCATCACCCCGCCCCATTCTCCCGCTTTCCATCACCCCGCCCCATTCTCCCGCTTTCCATCACCCCGCCCCATTCTCCCGCTTTCCATCACCCCGCCCCATTCTCCCTCCTTCCATCACCCCGCCCCATTCTCCAGCTTTCCATCACCCCGCCCCATTCTCCCGGTTTCCATCACCACGCCCCATTCTCCCACTTTCCATCACCCCGCCCCATTCTCCCGCTTTCCATCACCCCGCCCCATTCTCCCGCTTTCCATCACCCCGCCCCATTCTGCCGCTTTCCATCACCCCGCCCCATTCTCCCGCTTTCCATCACCCCGCCCCATTCTCCCGCTTTCCATCACCCCGCCCCATTCTCCCGCTTTCCATCACCCCGCCCCATTCTCCCGCTTTCCATCACCCCGCCCCATTCTCCCGCTTTCCATCACCCCGCCCCATTCTCCCGCTTTCCATCACCCCGCCCCATTCTCCCTCCTTCCATCACCCCGCCCCATTCTCCCTCCTTCCATCACCCCGCCCCATTCTCCCGCTTTCCATCACCCCGCCCCATTCTCCCGCTTACCATCACCCCGCCCCATTCTCCCGCTTTCCATCACCCCGCCTCATTCTCCCGCTTTCCATCACCCCGCCCCATTCTCCCTCCTTCCATCACCCCGCCCCATTCTCCCGCTTTCCATCACCCCGCCCCATTCCCCTGCTTTCCATCACCCCGCCCCATTCTCCCGCTTTCATCACCCCGCCCCATTCTCCCTCCTTCCATCAGCCCGCACCATTCTCCCGCTTTCCATCACCCCGCCCCATTCTCCCTCCTTCAATCACCCGGCCCCATTCTCCCTCCTTCCATCACCCCGCCCCATTCTCCCGCTCCATCAACCCGCCCCATTCTCCCGCTTTCCATCACCCCGCCCCATTCTCCCGCTTTCCGTCAGCCCGCCCCATTCTCCCGCTTTCCATCACCTCGCCCCATTCTCCCTCCTTCCATCACCCCGCCCCATTCTTCCGCTTTCCATCACCCCGCCCCATTCTCCCTCCTTCCATCACCCCGCCCCATTCTCCCTCCTTCCATCACCCCGCCCCATTCTCCCGCTTTCCATCAACCCGCCCCATTCTCCCGCTTTCCATCACCCCGCCCCATTCTCCCGCTTTCCATCACCCCGCCCCATTCTCCCTCCTTCCATCACCCCGCCCTATTCTCCCGCTTTCCATCACCCCGCCCCATTCTCCCGCTTTCCATCACCCCGCCCCATTCTCCCGCTTTCCATCACCCCGCCCCATTCTCCCGCTTTCCATCTCCCCGCCCCATTCTCGCGCTTTCCATCACCCCGACCCATTCTCCTGCTTTCCATCACCCCGCCCCTTTCTCCCTCCTTCCATCACCCCGCCCCATTCTCCCGCTTTCCATCACCCCGCCCCATTCTCCCGCTTTCCATCACCCCGCCCCATTCTCCCGCTTTCCATCACCCCGCCCCATTCTCCCGCTTTCCACCACCCCGCCCCATTCTCCCTCTTTCCATCACCCCGCCCCATTCCATCACCCCGCCCCATTCTCCCGCCTTCCATCGCCCCGCCCCATTCTCCCGCCTTCCATCACCCCGCCCCATTCTCCCGCTTTCCATCGCCCCGCCCCATTCTCCCGCTTTCCATCACCCCGCCCCATTCTCCCTCCTTCCATCACCCCGCCCCATTCTCCCTCCTTCCATCACCCCGCCCCATTCTCCCGCTTTCCATCACCCCGCCCCATTCTCCCGCTTTCCATCACCCCGCCCCATTCTCCCGCGTTCCATCACCCCGCCCCATTCTCCCTCCTTCCATCACCCCGCCCCATTCTCCCTCCTTCCATCACCCCGCCCCATTCTCCCGCTTTCCATCACCCCGCCCCATTCTCCCGCTTTCCATCACCCCGCCATATTCTCCCGCTTTCCATCACCCCGCCCCATTCTCCCGCTTTCCATCACCCCGCCCCATTCTCCCGCTTTCCATCACCTCGCCCCATTCTCCCGCTTTCCATCACCCCGCACCATTCTCCCGCTTTCCATCACCCCGCAACATTCTCCCTCCTTCCATCACCCCGCCCCATTCTCCCGCTTTCCATCACCCCGCCCCATTCTCCCGCTTTCCATCAACCCGCCCGATTCTCCCGCTTTCCCTCACCCCGCCCCATTCTCCCGCTTTCCATCACCCCGCCCCATTCTCCAGCTTTCCATCACCCCGCCCCATTCTCCCGCTTTCCATCACCCCGCCCCATTCTCCCTCTTTCCATCACCCCGCCCCATTCTCCCGCCTTCCATCGCCCCGCCCCATTCTCCCGCCTTCCATCACCCCGCCCCATTCTCCCGCTTTCCATAGCCCCGCCCCATTCTCCCGCTTTCCATCACCCCGCCCCATTCTCCCTCCTTCCATCACCCCGCCCCATTCTCCCTCCTTCCATCACCCCGCCCCATTCTCCCGCTTTCCATCACCCCGCCCCATTCTCCCGCTTTCCATCACCCCGCCCCATTCTCCCGCTTTCCATCACCCCGCCCCATTCTCCCTCCTTCCATCACCCCGCCCCATTCTCCCTCCTTCCATCACCCCGCCCCATTCTCCCACTTTCCATCACCCCGCCCCATTCTCCCGCTTTCCATCACCCCGCCCCATCTCCCGCTTTCCATCACCCCGCCCCATTCTCCCTCCTTCCATCACCCCGCCCCATTCTCCCTCCTTCCATCACCCCGCCCCATTCTCCCGCTTTCCATCACCCTGCCCCATTCTCCCTCCTTCCATCACCCCGCCCCATTCTCCCTCCTTCCATCACCCCGCCCCATTCTCCCGCTTTCCATCACCCCGCCCCATTCTCCCGCTTTCCATCACCCCGCCCCATTCTCCCGCCTTCCATCACCCCGCCCCATTCTCCCGCTTTCCATCACCCCGCTGCATTCTCCCGCTTTCCATAACCCTTCCCCATTCTCCCTCCTTCCATCACCCCGAACCATTCTCTCTCCTTCTATCACCCCGCCCCATTCTCCCGCTTTCCATCACCCCGCACCATTCTCCCGCTTTCCATCACCCCGCCCCATTCTCCCGCTTTCCATCACCCCGCCCCATTCTCCCGCTTTCCATCACCCCGCCCCATTCTCCCGCTTTCCATCACCCCGCCCCATTCTCCCTCCTTCCTTAACTCTGCCCCATTCTCCCTCCTTCCATCACCCCGCCCCATTCTCCCTCCTTCCATCACCCCGCCCCATTCTCCCTCCTTCCATCACCCCGCTCCATTCTCCTGCTTTCCATCACCCCGTCCCATTCTCCCGCTTTCCATCACCCGCCCCATTCTCCCGCTTTCCATCACCCGGCCCCATTCTCCCGCTTTCCATCACCCCCCCCATTCTCCCGCTTTCCATCACCCCGTCCCATTCTCCCGCTTTCCATCACCCCGCCCCATTCTCCCGCTTTCCATCACCCCGCCCTATTCTCCCTCCTTCCATCAACTTGCCCCATTCTCCCTCCTTCCATCACCCCTCCCCATTCTCCCTCCTTCCATCACCCCGCCCCATTCTCCCGCTTCCATCACCCCGCCCCATTCTCCCGCTTTCCATCACCCCGCCCCATTCTCCCGCTTTCCATCACCCCGCCCCATTCTCCCGCTTTCCATCACCCCGCCCCATTCTCCCGCTTTCCATAACCCCGCCCCATTCTCCCGCTTTCCATCACCCCGCCCCATTCTCCCTCCTTCCTTAACTCTGCCCCATTCTCCCTCCTTCCATCATCCCGCCCCATTCTCCCTCCTTCCATCACCCCGCCCCATTCTCCTGCTTTCCATCACCCCGCACCATTCTCCCGCTTTCCATCACCCCGCCCCATTCTCCCGCTTTCCATCACCCCGCCCCATTCTCCCGCTTTCCATCACCCGCCCCATTCTCCCGCTTTCCATCACCCGCCCCATTCTCCCGCTTTCCATCACCCTGCCCCATTCTCCCGCTTTCCATCACCCCGCCCCATTCTCCCGCTTTCCATCACCCCGCCCCATTCTCCCGCTTTCCATCACCCGGCCCCATTCTCCCGCTTTCCATCACCCCGCCCCATTCTCCCGCTTTCCATCACCCCGTCCCATTCTCCCGCTTTCCATCACCCCGCCCCATTCTCCCGCTTTCCATCACCCCGCCCTATTCTCCCGCTTTCCATCACCCCGCCCCACTCTCCCGCTTTCCATCACCCCGCCCCAGTCTCCCGCTTTCCATCACCCCGCCCCATTCTCCCTCCTTCCATCACCCCGCCCCATTCTCCCTCCTTCCATCACCCCGCCCCATTCTCCCGCTTTCCATCACCCCGCCCCATTCTCCCGCTTTCCATCACCCCGCCCCATTCTCCCGCTTTCCATCACCCCGCCCTATTCTCCCGCTTTCCATCACCCCGCCCCACTCTCCCGCTTTCCATCACCCCGCCCCAGTCTCCCGCTTTCCATCACCCCGCCCCATTCTCCCTCCTTCCATCACCCCGCCCCATTCTCCCTCCTTCCATCACCCCGCCCCATTCTCCCGCTTTCATCACCCCGCCCCATTCTCCCTCCTTCCATCAGCCCGCCCCATTCTCCCGCTTTCCATCACCCCGCCCCATTCTCCCTCCTTCCATCACCCGGCCCCATTCTCCCTCCTTCCATCACCCCGCCCCATTCTCCCGCTCCATCAACCCGCCCCATTCTCCCACTTTCCATCACCCCGCCCCATTCTCCCGCTTTCCGTCACCCCGCCCCATTCTCCCGCTTTCCATCAACTCGCCCCATTCTCCCTCCTTCCATCACCCCGCCCCATTCTTCCGCTTTCCATCACCCCGCCCCATTCTCCTGCTTTCCATCACCTCGCCCCATTCTCCCGCTTTCCATCACCCCGCCCCATTCTCCCGCTTTCCATCACCCCGCAACATTCTCCCTCCTTCCATCACCTCGCCCCATTCTCCCGCTTTCCATCACCCCGCCCCATTCTCCCGCTTTCCATCAACCCGCCCGATTCTCCCGCTTTCCCTCACCCCGCCCCATTCTCCTGCTTTCCATCACCCCGCCCCATTCTCCCGCTTTCCATCACCCCGCCCCATTCTCCCGCTTTCCACCACCCCGCCCCATTCTCCCTCTTTCCATCACCCCGCCCCATTCTCCCGCCTTCCATCGCCCCGCCCCATTCTCCCGCCTTCCATCACCCCGCCCCATTCTCCCGCTTTCCATCGCCCCGCCCCATTCTCCCGCTTTCCATCACCCCGCCCCATTCTCCCGCGTTCCATCACCCCGCCCCATTCTCCCTCCTTCCATCACCCCGCCCCATTCTCCCTCCTTCCATCACCCCGCCCCATTCTCCCGCTTTCCATCACCCCGCCCCATTCTCCCGCTTTCCATCACCCCGCCCCATTCTCCCTCCTTCCATCACCCCGCCCCATTCTCCCGCTTTCCATCACCCCGCCCCATTCTCCCGCTTTCCATCACCCCGCTCCATTCTCCCGCTTTCCATCACCCCGCTGCATTCTCCCGCTTTCCATAACCCTTCCCCATTCTCCCTCCTTCCATCACCCCGCCCCATTCTCTCTCCTTCCATCACCCCGCCCCATTCTCCCGCTTTCCATCACCCCGCACCATTCTCCCGCTTTCCATCACCCCGCCCCATTCTCCCGCTTTCCATCACCCCGCGCCATTCTCCCGCTTTCCATCACCCCGCCCCATTCTCCCTCCTTCAATCACCCCGCCCTATTCTCCCACTTTCCATCACCCCGCCCCATTCTCCCGCTTTCCATCACCCCGGCCCATTCTCCCGCTTTCCATCACCCCACCCCATTCTCCCGCTTTCCATCACCCCGCCCCATTCTCCCGCTTTCCATCACCCCGACCCATTCTCCCGCTTTCCATCACCCCGCCCCATCCTCCCGTTTTCCATCACCCCGCCCCATTCTCCCTCCTTCCATCACCCCGCCCCATTCTCCCGCTTTCCATCATCCCGCCCCAATCTCCCGCTTTCCATCACCCCGCCCCATTCTCCCTCTTTCCATCACCCCGCCCCATTCTCCCTCCTTCCATCACCCCGTCCCATTCTCCTGCTTTTTGTCACCCCGTCCCATTCTCCCGCTTTCCATCACCCCGCCCCATTCTCCCGCTTTCCATCACCCCGCCCCATTCTCCCGCTTTCCATCATCCCGCCCCATTCTCCCGCGTTCCATCACCCCGCCCCATTCTCGCTCCTTCCATCACCCCGCCCCATTCTCCCGCTTTCCATCACCCCGCCCCATTCTCCCGCTTTCCATCACCCCGCTCCATTCTCCCGCTTTCCATCACCCCGCCCCATTCTCCCTCCTTCCATCACCCCGCCCCATTCTCCCGCTTTCCATCACCCCGCCCCATTCTCCCGCTTTCCATCACCCCGCCCCATTCTCCCTCCTTCCATCACCCCGCCCCATTCTCCCGCTTTCCATCACCCCGCCCCATTCTCCCGCTTTCCATCACCCCGCCCCATTCTCCCGCTTTCCATCACCCCGCCCCATTCTCCCGCTTTCCATCACCCCGCCGCATTCTCCCGCTTTCCATAACCCTGCCCCATTCTCCCTCCTTCCATCATCCCGCCCCATTCTCCCTCCTTCCATCACCCCGCCCCATTCTCCCGCTTTCCATCACCCCGCACCATTCTCCCGCTTTCCATCACCCCGCCCCATTCTCCCGCTTTCCATCACCCCGCGCCATTCTCCCGCTTTCCATCACCCCGCCCCATTCTCCCTCCTTCCATCACCCCGCCCTATTCTCCCGCTTTCCATCACCCCGCCCCATTCTCCCGCTTTCCATCACCCCGCCCCATTCTCCCGCTTTCCATCACCCCGCCCCATTCTCCCGCTTTCCATCACCCCGCCCCATTCTCCCGCTTTCCATCACTCCGCCCCCTTCTCCCGCTTTCCATCACCCCGCCCCATTCTCCCGCTTTCCATCACCCCGCCCCATCTCCCGCTTTCTATCACCCCGCCCCATTCTCCCTCCTTCCATCACCCCGCCCCATTCTCCCGCTTTCCATCACCCCGCCCCATTCTCCCGCTTTCCATCACCCTGCCCCATTCTCCCTCCTTCCATCACCCCGCCCCATTCTCCCTCCTTCCATCACCCCGCCCCATTCTCCCGCTTTCTATCACCCCGCCCCATTCTCCCGCTTTCCATCACCCCGCGCCATTCTCCCGCTTTCCATCACCCCGCCCCATTCTCCCTCCTTCCATCACCCCGCCCCATTCTCCCGCTTTCCATCACCCCGCCCCATTCTCCCGCGTTCCATCACCCCGCCCCATTCTCCCTCCTTCCATCACCCCGCCCCATTCTCCCTCCTTCCATCACCCCGCCCTATTCTCCCGCTTTCCATCACCCCGCCCCATTCTCCCGCTTTCCATCACCCCGCCCCATTCTCCCGCTTTCCATCACCCCGCCCCATTCTCCCGCTTTCCATCACCCCGCCCCATTCTCCCGCTTTCCATCACCCCGCCCCATCTCCCGCTTTCTATCACCCCGCCCCATTCTCCCTCCTTCCATCACCCCGCCCCATTCTCCCTCCTTCCATCACCCCGCCCCATTCTCCCGCTTTCCATCACCCTGCCCCATTCTCCCTCCTTCCATCACCCCGCCCCATTCTCCCTCCTTCCATCACCCCGCCCCATTTTCCCGCTTTCTATCACCCCGCCCCATTCTCCCGCTTTCCATCACCCCGCGCCATTCTCCCGCTTTCCATCACCCCGCCCCATTCTCCCTCCTTCCATCACCCCGCCCCATTCTCCCGCTTTCCATCACCCCGCGCCATCCTCCCGTTTTCCATCACCCCGCCCCATTCTCCCTCCTTCCATCACCCCGCCCCATTCTCCCGCTTTCCATCACCCCGCCCCATTCTCCCGCGTTCCATCACCCCGCCCCATTCTCCCTCCTTCCATCACCCCGCCCCATTCTCCCTCCTTCCATCACCCCGCCCCATTCTCCCGCTTTCCATCACCCCGCCCCATTCTCCCGCTTTCCATCACCCCGCCCCATTCTCCCTCCTTCCATCACCCCGCCCCATTCTTCCTCCTTCCATCACCCCGCCCCATTCTCCCTCTTTCCATCACCCCGCCCCATTCTCCTTCCTTCCATCACCCCGCCCCATTCTCCCTCCTTCCATCACCCCGCCCCATTCTCCCGCTTTCCAT